AAAGAAAAAAAGGAAAAAGAAAGAAAAGAAAAAAAAAAAGAGAAAAAAATCAAAGAAAAGAAAAAAATAAGGAAAAAACTTCAAAAAGGACTTCCCGACTTTCCATTTTACCTGTGAATAGTTTTGGCTCAGCCTTGCTTTCTTGTTTGCGCTGGTCCTTGACAGTGTAGCCCTTTTCCGGAGGCCACTTAGCACGAGGAAAGCCAGGTTTCCTCGGGGTTTCAACGAAAGTTCGACGAAACTTGTCGCCGATCCCTGCTTCTGATACCCAGTCAACTTCCGTTATTGATTCCCACCACTTTTCCCAGTTAGGAAGCTGATCCCTTACAGCTGCTGGAATGTGCACCTCTGCATCTGTTCCCCCCTCGCCGACCTCCCCGTCAACCTCCAGTGTTTTTGGGCTTGGGATGTCTGTCCCCAAGTTTGCGTCACTTGAAAGCTCTTTGCTGTGGTGCCGCAACTTAGAGGAGGAGTGCAATCCAGTGCCTGTAGATGGGTCTTCGTGCTGTGGGTCAGATCTTGAGAAATCTTCTTGTTTTTCCCAACTGGTATTAGGAGGGGACGTTAGAATGGAAGAAGGGTTGGAAGACAAAACCAGATCAGGTGAGGATGGAGAGCTGACAGTTTGAGCGATGTGCTCTGCGGCGCTTGGTCCCGAAGAAACCGCACCCATGGCCGTCCGTCCTTCTGTAGATGATTGCAATAAACTGGACTGTTCCCTGCGTTTACTGTCCTGTTCCACATCCTTTCGGCGACGCCCGCCATTGCCGCCTTTTCGGAACCAATTCCGGTCTTGTTTGAGGCGCTTTCGTGCCCGGCCGGACCCTGATCTGGGCGCCACAACGACTCCCTTAGAAGTGTCGTCGCCACTTTTCCCGGGGTCTACTCTTACAACCTGCTCATGATCTGGTCCATTGTGACCTGTGTCTGATGACGAGACATGATGATTGCATTCAGCAGGGGGAGGGTTGGGAGCTTCAACATCATCATGTTCTGCTGTTGCAGTATCCACATGTTGTGGCATATGACGATAATGATGATGATGATGATGATTATGATGGTTATGGTCATGGTTATGGTCACCTTGTTTTTCAAAATTCCCCTGTGCATGATAATTTGCCTCCACTTCATGCCCGTCTCGCTGTCCTCTTACTCCTTCTGTCAATGTCATGGGGGGGAACTCAGTGGTGGACGATAAATGGGCCTCACCATACCCACCGATGTCACCGTTGCTCCCCAGTACACTGGAACCAGGCGCTGTGGATGGCAATCGAAAAGACTCGCGCTCACGACCTGCATCATGGTTACCGTGGTCCATCATACTCCACCCGCTGTGCATGCTACTACGCACACTCGCGCCTGATTGTAATCGCGCGCTTCTCTGCCATGAACTAGAGTAATGATGACCAGGGGATAGCCTTGGGAACCTAGCACGCTCCCGTGAGGATTTTCTTCGAAGAGGCATCGGCACAACCCCTCGATAATGAAACGGCTCAAACCAGGGGAGCGTTCTCCGGTTCACATCACGAGTCCGTGTGCGCAGCCAAATACGTGTTGGCTCGTAGTCCGTCCACCAGAGATTGGTCTCGTCGTCTGTGAGCTCTCCTCCAAATTCCTGATCCGGCTCATTGTCAGAGCTGCTCAAACGCGGACGATTTTCCACCATGTGCGCAGCATCGTCAGGTGGAGCCTGGCTCTTGGCGGCGATTTCGTGCTCGTCCACCCGCCGTTCCTTTCCCTCCAAGTTTGTCGGTCGCCCTCCAGCTTGCAAGCCAGCAGATAACAACCAACCTGGGCGCGATGGTTGGTGACCAGCTCCAGCTCCCATGGCTGAAGGGAATTGCAACTCTGAGGAATGAACGCCAATGCCATGGAATCCAAAGCCTCCCAACTCCGACTTCGCAATCTTCACTTGACCCAGCAGCATGGCACCAGCGCCAGACTTGCCTTCATCACCACCACCCAAGTCCACTTCTCCTGAACGCCTCCTCTTCAGTTGGTGCGCCTCGTGTTCTTCAGCTAACTCTTCGGTTATCGATTGCACAACATCTGTGGTTGCAACCCAAGAAATATCCTTCAGCAAAGAATGCCTATGTTGTGCCTGTAGCGTCTTGTTTTCCGAGTCTTCTCCAAATGCAGCCGAGCTAACAGCTTGCAAATAACCTGCAGGTTGGTACAAAAGGACAGAACGTCTATTCAACCTTGCGCTGTAGTTTGTGGAGAAATCTGTTTCCGTTCGGAGTCTCTGGACAGCAGCACCTGAATCTCCTCTCGTTTCTCGGCTGCCCTGCCTATCTTTTAGCTCCCATCCGCTTTTCATTCCATAACCATCACGATGATAGTCTTCGCGAGACCCGTCATCCCTTTTGCTGATGTCGTACTTGTCGATGCCGCTGGCAGCGCCTGTGCGATCACCAACTGGGTGGTTGAACTCCGTACTTGAGGATGAACGCTTCATCGTTCCTTCAGAGGCTTTCAGTTGCATATCACCTCCCATACCAGAACCGAGAGAACCAGCAGACTGTGGGCGCTGGGTGGCACCATCACTCTCGTGAGACGATCGATGTGACGATGTCAATTGTTGTTGCGTTGGGGATGTGTGAGAGATTCGCTGTATGCTGATTTCACGCTGTAGGCGAAGGTCATAGCAGAACAGGAGCCAAAGGTGTCCCTGAATGTCATTCTTGAAGATCAAACGCATATGTGCAATTTCTGCACTTGTACCAAAAGAGAGGGCAAGTTCAGGGAACAAGTTAGATGGTAGCAAGAGGCTGAGTTCACAAAATGTGTCAGTCAAGAGTCTGAAGATAGATAGACTAACATACAAATGTTCAACTTTGTGAGCGCGCGAGCGACACGCACACGCACACACACACACACACACACACACACACACACACACACACACACACACACAGAGAGAGAGAGAGA